ATATATATGTGTGTGTGTGTGTGTGTGTGTGTGTGTGTGTGTGTGTGTGTGTGTGTGTGTGTGTGTGTGTGTGTGTGTGTGTGTGTGTGTGTGTGAAAAAGTGATTTTTTCGAATTACACCGGAATTTCCGGTCGGATCGATTTGTGTTTAAAATTATATCATCGAATTCGAAAAACTGCGTGAATGCTGCTAACTGCATGAAAATCGGTTTATTCATTTAAAAGTAATTGCAGTTTGAAAATTTACATACTAGTGTTTTATTAAACTTTTATCAGACTCTTGAGCTCAAAGCTTAGAACAACTAACTCTTTGAGCTGGGAAAGCTCAAAATAACACAAATTATATTTTTGAGCTCGAAGAGCTCAATTACGTCATAAGTGCAATTTAAAGCGCTTAGATATGGAATTAGCGGGAAGTTGTAGGGATGACCTTTAGGGTCAATCGTTTTCCTAATTTTTTTTTTAAGTAAAATTTATTTTATATCTACAAAAAAAAAAAAAAGCAATTTGTCACTTAAAACTTGTTTCAGTTGAATAAAAATTGATTTTAGTATAAGAACCCCGCTCTTGGATGTTTTCCGGATTCAAATTCAGATTCACTCCGAAGGCGGAGTGCTTAATTACTTCATTCCAGTACTCCGGGTAATGGGACTGAATGCGGAGTAAAATTATTCGTTATTTAAAAAAATCACTCCTTTAGGACATTGTTATATACAAATTTTTACAGAGGCTTCCTTAAATTTCAAGAATTGAAGTTCGACAGTACACGGCAGTAACGATCCCCTGCGCTACTTTTTAGAAAGAAATGGAAAGAATACAGTAGGAATTTGAAGATAGAGAACGAACAAGTTAAAGAGACTCCATAATACTTCATTTAAAAATTTTGTCAATAAAAACTAAGTAGCAAATAAATTAATTACTATTTTTTTATTAGAATTCAATGCGTAAATCTTATATTCAAATTCTCAGCATAAATTGAATCGATTTAATATACTTACTATAACTAGCGGATAGTCAATACCAAATACTTTTTATCTTTATTATAACATGATTTTACACGTTTGCAAGGTAAAAACTAACTTAAATAAGTTATTTGTGTAAATTCAAATATCGGAGAATACAAATTCAAAATATTCTATGCATTTTTTTATTACTCTTTTATGTTTTAATAGAATTTTATCATATAATACATCTAATATTAAATGTATTTTCGACGAACTTTTACAATAATGGTAAATATCATTATCTAGATAAACATATGTGTCATTAAATAGCCATTATATCAATAATTAAAATATACGAATTCAGAATTTAATTAAGACGATAATTTTTAAACTCATAAAATCAATCTGAGTATAAAAGTGTCATTGCATACAAATAAAATTATTCAATAGTAACTTTATAAATAAATAAAAAATTATACAGTATTGAATGAAATTAGAACATTAATATGTGAACAATAATTGCATTATCTATTATTAGTCATTATTTGTTAAAATTATGTAAAAATAAATTATTAACAAGAACAGGAATCTTTGCCATTATGCTGTTCGTTGGTAGCTCCATGTAAATTAGTACGTTCTGGTTGACTGGGATTATGTTGTACTCCTGATTCAGCAGCATTCAAATCCAATCTGTAAAAAGTAATTTCATACATGCTGATACTCTTGTCTATAAGTAACTTTATTCTGACTCGATACTTACCGGCCATCTCTTATACTTTGGAATATTTTTTTTGCTGTATCCAAAAAAGCTTCTTCAACATTATGACCTCTGAAATTTTAATCCATACGGAATTATTGTTTGTAAATTTTTTAAAAATATTACATGCTGTGAACAAAATTAGCAGATGAACAAAACAAAAAATTTTTTTTGAACTAGACTTCAAAAATGACCTCTACTTATTACTTTGTAGAATCTAAATAATGAAATGATCTTTTTTCTATTAATTATAGGAAAGACCATAGCGGAATATGCAAGGTAAAAATGAATCATTTAAATATCCAAGCGATATTCTATGGATATGTAGGTACTACTGAAATATTAAAATCCTGAAAATTTCAGACTTTAATCTAAGTTAGTTTTTGAGGGAAGTAAAAATGAGTAAAAATGAATTCTATTTGTGGGTCAAAGAGACCAATTTGATTGACAATTTGATAGGTCATGCAAGAGATAAAAAGTTTTCATAAACACGACGAATTAACATACTCAATTACGCTTTTTCCAAAAACTGGTTTAGATTAAAATCTGAAATTTTCAGGATTTTAATACTTCAATAGTACTTGCATATCCAAAGAACAAGTAATCCAATTTCTACAAAAATATGTATTGATCATTCTAGAGCACTGATCTGATAAATTCTTGATGAAGAACTAATTAATATTACTCGTAATAGTTCAAACTTTAAAAAGCTTTTCATTTTAACTTTTTGCAACTATACTTTTTTATAATTAGAATACATTAAAATAATTAGACTTACGTTTTTGCACTAGCCTCAACAAACATAAGACCATTTTCGTCAGCAAATTGTTTTGCTTCTTCATAAGTCACATCCCGCTGACCTTCTAAATCACTTTTGTTCCCTATCAAAAATATAACCTGAAACCAAGAGTAATATGTAATAAAGTAGAAATCAATTTATTAATACATTCTTTTAATATACTATTGATCCTTACAGTGCTAGGATTGGTGAGATTGCGTGTATCTGTTAGCCAACTACTCAAGTGGTTGTAAGTGGAACGTCGAGTTATATCATACACCATAAGTGCTCCGGCTGCCCCACGATAATAAGATCTAGTAAATACAAAATATTTTCAAACTAAATAACTTATGCAATAAACAGTATCCACAAATGAATTTATATATTAAAATATAATACCTTGTAACTGCTCTAAAACGCTCTTGTCCTGCTGTATCCCATATTTGTAATTTAATTTTTTGACCATTTACTTCAATAATTCTTGTACCAAATTCTACTCCAATAGTATGCGGACAATCTGCCATAACTTGAATGAATAACATAAAGGATTATTAATATTTAATCTGAGTTAAAATTCAAGTACTTTAAATGATATAATTTACATTTTTTCTCTGTAAATTGATGTAAAAGACATGACTTTCCAACTCCCATGTCTCCTATAATAATGTATTTAAATATATACGAATAGTTGTATGGCCCTGTCGACATAGCTTATCTGAAAATAATAAAATAATTTTGGATTATCTGCCAATTATTTTATTCACTTAAATTATTTCCTTATACGATATCAACAATGCAGTATTATGTGAATAGTAACGAAACATAACCAAACAAAAACGTTTGCTTGGGTTTATCATCCCTTTCTAATTTTTATTTTTAGTCTTAACAATAAATGGTCTAAGAACTCTTATAGAACACTAAACAAACAAATACAAATTTCTCCTTTCTGATCATTTTTACAATAAAAATGACATAGTTATGTAAATATGTATCTAAATAAAACAGTAATCATAAATTTGTTTAACCAAACTATTCAAGACATAATAATCATTTAATAAATATTTTTCAGTCAATTATGATCAAAATATTTAATTTATATGTCTTAACAGGTTGTCAACAGCTATAATGAAACCAAACAAATTTTTTTAAGAATAAATTGATTAAATTATGAAATGTTACGGAGTAGAACTTTAGAAATTTCTATTTTGTTTAATTACGAGTTTCAAATATTATATTATACTGAGTAATTATAGAAAATTTAATTTTTTAAGAATTTTATTTATCAACTACATGTAATAGCAAATGATTCATTATTCACCTGTGGAATGAAATAAATTCAAATAAAGCTTGACACTTCGTACTTCGTTTAAATATCACAATATAACTTTTACGCATCTATCACTTGATGTACGTAAAAATTTCACTTCTAATGTTATTAATTGAAAACTGAAGTGACAGTCATACTAAATACACTATTTCAAGTTATTCAATATGGCAGATTCTTATGCACAACACTATAGTACTGTAAGAATAGTTGTTATGTATTGGTCGAACTAACTTATCAAATTTTTATAAAATTATGAACTATGTTTAAAAATAAGATTCTAATTAAATATAATAAATGATTTTAATTAATACTGCGTTAAGGCCAGTTTCTTAATTCGGGATATAATTTTATCGGAGGTTGAAATATTGCTGTCAGTTAATATTTATATACCTACTATACAGTATTAGAAATTAACTTGAAGGTGTGGCTTAAAAAAATGTCGGAAAGAAGCTATCAGTTTCAAACAAATAACCCATGAAGTATAGTATAATAATAATAACTAAAGTATTATTAAAATTAAATGAAATAATATTTCAAACTGATAAAAACACCTGAATCACAAAAATACATTTATATATACAGACCGAATTTGATCGCTTGACCATTTCATTTAATACCAATTAAGCATGAAAAAAGCATTGGTATTGTGGGAGATACATTTAACTGCGTTTATGACAAGCCTCCGGTATTAAATGAGTCATTCTAATGTTTGATAGTTTTAAAATGACCAATAATTTTTTTCTGTAATGGATTGTTTTAAAATAATTTAAGCTTATTGCAACATGACAGTTTATTACTGATGAGTTAAAAAAAATTTTATTGTAGAAAATTTTGATTACACAGGTGTATTTAATTTTATTTAAATGTGACATTAAATATTTATTCGGCCAGTCGAATGTGTAGATAATTTTTCTATTACTTTAGAAAGCTATCTATTCTGTATTTTTCTGATAAACGAAATAAAATGAGCCAATAAATAAAAAAAAAATTAGGAATACGGTTGACCCTGAAGGCCATCCCTGCAACTTCCCGCCAATTCTATACCCAAACGCTTGAAATTGCACTTATGACGTTTTAGAGCTCTTCGAGCTCATAAATACAATTTGCGTATTATTTTGAGCTCTCCGAGCTCAAAAAAATAGCTTTTGTATGCTTTTGAGCTCTTCGAGCTCAAAAGTTTGATAGAAGTTTGATAAAACACTATTTTTTTTATTTTCAAATCGCAATAACTTTTGAATGAATGAACCGATTTTCACGCGGTTGGTGGCATTCTACGCAGTTTTTTAAGCCTCATAAAGAATTCTTAAGTTTCAATTGGTTAAACTAGAAATTTCGGAGTAATTCCGAAAAAACACTTTTTTTCGGTTTTTTTTCGTTCACGATATCTCTTGAACGAATCAACCGATTTTGACCGGATTGACGGCAATCGACGTGGTTTTTTAAGGTTGAGAGCTTATTAGTTTTTGAAATCGATCGGTAGAGCCGTTTAAAAGTTATTCCAAAAAAACCACTTCTTAAAAAAATTTTTTTCCTATTTTTTCCAATTTTTTTAGAGATTTCTCTAAATTTCTCAAAATCTATCGGTCCGAATCAGTTCAAATTTTCAGGAAATCTAAGTTTAGTGAAGCCCTTTCGAATGGCACCAACCGCGATGAAATCGGTTCAACCGTTCAAAAGTTATAAGAGGTTTACATACTTACACACACACACACACACACACACACACACACACACACACACACACACACACACACACACACACACACACACACACGGTGGCGCGACGCTAACCACGTGGGTAAATTCGGCTGGCAAAAGAACGTGGGTAACGAAGGGTTAATAATTTCAAGTAGATTAATTGTTATAATTAAATATAATTAATTAATATCAGTAAAATAAAGTATGAATTACTGTTATAATATAAAATTTAGGAAAAAAAATTACCGTAGAATTAAATAAAATTTTGCAACCTCGAAATACTGTTCTGCTTACAGTAAACACACTCGGTAGTCTGGCGCTCCGTTTACAACGGATTTGAACGGAACTTGGCGCCAGATTCTACCGAATCTGTGGATTAAAAGGATTTCCTAATACCAGAGTATTGACAAATATTAATTACAATGGTTTTAAGAACATGAAATAAGGTCATTATATTATTAAAATAGTTTCAAATCTTTGTTTAACCAATCTTCGATTTTTGATGATTAATTTCGTAATGTAGTGAGTGAGTTAAACAATTATAGAATAAAAAAAGATTTGTCTTTATAATTATATCTCTAAATTCCTTTAGAAAATATTTTAATTCGAATCGTTCTCCCTCTTACTTGTTGTAATTTAATTGAATTCGAGAATTGTAGATTAACCCTAGACTGGTCAACGTATGAGCGTGACGCCACGCTCAATTATATTTTTTTTATTACATCATCAATATTTACTAAAATTATCCAAAAAAAATTTGACTTTGTTCCTTGAACATTTTAGAATATATTAATAATTTTTTTCGAACATCTTCGAAAACGTTAAATTGCTGAAAAAAAATCGTGTGTGTCAGCTCCGACGCACGACCGGAGTTTACTCCTTACGAACGATTATATCAAATATATAGATTAGTAAATGATGGTAAATGAAATTAACTATTCTATTACTCGAAGCATACATGATGCATTTATTTTCATTAATTATGCAATTAATTCGTCAAAATAGCTAACTCTATTGACTTGTGAATATTTTTAAGTCGCAAATTAATATCGATAGATATAAATAAAAAAATTATGTATAAACTCCAAAAAATTGTTTAAGGAACAATTTTTCTTTTAAAAATCATTATTTATATCAAAGATTAAAATTTCTTAAAAAAATTTTCAATCATCTTATGAACAACGCATTTGTTTATAACAATTTTTTAAACAATAAAAGGTAAAAATTTTAAAAAGTTATTTCCGTGCAGCTGCTTCTGATAACATAAAAACGGATCATTAATAATATTTTGAAAAAATAAATTTTTTTGATGATTAATTTAAGTTTTTAATTTTGCAACAACGAAAATTATTAAGGGGAATGGCCACTGTGAAATTTCAAAAAAAAAAAATTTTTTTTTTTTTATTAAATCCAAGTTGATAAATTCAAAAATATGTATCTAGAGTTTGGTATCAAAATTCCGAATACTTTCCGAGTTATAGTTATTTTTGTGACAGCGCGTAAAATGACTTTGCACGCGCGGCACTCCGATAAAAACGCGTTTTTCTCGAAACTACTTTTTTTGAACTGATGAGAACTATAATTTGTATAAATATGAACCGATTTGCAACTTTTTTTTCCCCGTATTCGTCTATTCAGTAGCTATAGTTGCACGTAGGGGATTTTGGAAATTTTGATTTGTAAAATTTTTTAGGGCTGTTTGAATCCAAAAAAATGAAGAAAACGAAAAAATTTTTAATATGTCGCCATTTTTTTTAAATCGAAATTTTCAAAATCCCCTACGTGCAATGATAACAACACGCATGCAGATTACAACGCTCTTTCGTTTTTTTGTTTTAGATAATCCGTTTTTGAGTTAGAGATCGCATAAGGGAGGGTGAAATTTTTTTGGTGCTCCACAAAAATGCTAATAACTTTGTAACAACATGATATTTTTGGATAAAAATTTAGGAGAATAATCTGCAATGTATACTTTATAAAAAAAAAACCCGATCCCGAAATTCCTTTATTATCCCAGTCAAAAAAATTCCCGAAAATCACCTATTTTTTCGACAGTGGCCATCCCCCTTTATAAAAAATTGAAAAATAAAAATTTTTAATTTTTCGAACGGGGATCTATTCTGAAGCCTTCCAAGAATTGCTCCAAAAGAGGAAAAAAATCTCAAATAGTTATAGTTTAACAATTATCACACTTGTAATGTACATGTTCAAGCAGAAAAAAAATTATTAAGTAAGTCCTTTCGCTCCAGTTGAGTCACAACTATGGAGACTATACAACATACTTAATTTTCAGACGAATATCAAGGCCAAGTTCAAAGATGAGCTTAATCAGTCAAGTAGTTCAGAAATTACAGGGTTTCAAAATTTTCAAAATCCTAAAAATCCATTTTTTGGCAGATTCTTTCGCGCATAACTTTTGAATGAAATAACTTATCGAATTTTCGTAAATTGCATTTTAAAGCCCATTAAACAAGCTTTAATTTTCGTACCATTTCATTCTTCTAAACTTAAAATAACCTATTCGTCTGTAGGTTTTCAATGAAATTTTACTCTTGCAGTCGTTTTTTCGATTGATTTGTCCAATATATCTCCTATAAATCTATACATATTTTTATCTTTATTCTTAATGAATTTTTTTTTTGCATACAATCCTAGTAGTTTTTTTTTATTCATTATGAAATCTAC